AATCAAATTAAATGAAAGGTAGTAGAAAGAAGAAAAAAACTTATATCTACCCTATAAAAAATTAACATTAATCATAATTTCAAACAATAACAATGTTCAAGTAAAACAAAAGACAAATACTTAAGCACCTAAACAGCAGCTCTTATAAATACAAACTATACAGTTTCATATTTCTTTAACCAGTTTATTTTTTATCATTTTTTTTAAACAAATTCATTGGACCAACATTTTTACAATCACTATACAATTATTCCATAATCGTATTCTCTGGACCAAAGTACATCTGTCCTTTTAAATTTGTTCAAATTTTGGGTTTTACCAACATTTCCAATTCCTTAAGATTATAACAACTTTCCCTCTTAACAAAATTAGATTGGATGTTCAAAGGTAGTACTATTTTATGAGCCTTATACATAAACAGCAAAATATTATAATTAGCTTTATTCAAGACACAATACAAGATGAATGGAGTCACAATTCAAACAATATTGTCTCCATGAACGGTTTTTAAAGACGTTCCCCATTGAYATCACTTCCTGTTACACTTTAGCTGCACAAAGTTCAACCAAAAATATGAAATGAAAATCACATGTATTATGTCAAATATCTTAAAAATTAAGATTTTTTTTCACTTTTTGTAATTGTACAAAATGCATGTCACAGGCACTTCAATCCTAACCAGCTTTGTTGTGTAAAATTTCACTGTCACTTAAAATCTACACAAAAACAGTTAATTTAGAACACTGATTGGACGTAAACACAGAGGTGTTTTGGGTAATATAGWGCTGTTTTGCTCATAGATGTGCCGGCTTAATGACAATAATTTATTAATGCCTGTAATCGTCCAACCAAACAGTTGTTCTGTCTTTGCCATGCAGTTGCTCGATAGTACTAWCTGAAGACTAGTCCTCCCTGCTTCTGCATACCAATCATGCTGACAACAAGTTGAACCAGATTTTAGTCGGTGAAAATTTAAACTTGTATTGATAGTCAGACTGTGCWCTACCTGCTGCTGTGATGACTAAGCAGTGTTTTTGACAGTGATGTAAGGGCTTCAGTGTAGTCTTCTATTCCCCCTACCCTACCCCACCCCCGTTGTTCCTTTCTTTACCCCCTCAGTCATCACTTCCTCYCTGTGTTGGGCTTTTGGCAGATCYACATTGTCCTCTGCTTTCATCCCTCCCCTGAAAGCCAGCAGCATGTCACTTTCCTGTGACAGCAGAGATCTGATTGAGCAGCAGCCTGCAGCCGGGAAGGATGCTGCCTCAGTATCTGGGCGGAAAGCCCAGGGTCTCAGAGGGTAACAGACAGCGAAGGTCCACCTGACGGAAGGCGCCTGCTTGCAGGGTTGAGCTCAAGGACATTAAGGAAATTGAGGGCATTAAAATAATGATAAAGATGAAAGAAATCAAAACGAAATGTACTGTATATGTTTGACATCAGTGGACAGTGGTGGTCTTAAGGCTCTGAGTATTTCAACGCAGCTGAAAACAGGCTGTGGGTACCAGTAATTCAACATGACCGCTACATGGGCTAGTCTTAGCAATTTTATTTTTTTATGATTGTAGGCTCACAGGCCTAAAAACAAAATCCATAATCTATTCATCTCTTGTGCTGCCTTGGCCGGAGCACATGGTCTTTCTTTATTCTATGTGTTTCACCTACTTTTCTCCAATTTTATTATAGCAAGTGCAAAGTTTGTTTGCACAAGTCAAACCCAGATATATTGTTTATCTAAGCATGTGATCTAAAACAGTAATATCTTGCTATTTGTCAAGCATTCTATGATGTTTTAGAAAAGTGTTACA